ATTTAATCTCACCATCAGCCTCTTGAAACAACGGCTTCAAGACACCAGGCTTCAAAGTCTCTTACTCCCTGCCCTCTCTGACTCTTCACTTGGTATTTCCAACATTCATATGGTCTCTTTGGAGATCACCACATAAAAGAAAGGATGCAAAAGGCCATAAGTAAGCATTCCAAGATGCTTGTAAACCTAATTTTCTGGGTCCTTACTAAGAGTCACATTTATAAAATGTGCACTCACAAAAGCTCAGTAACCTATTAGAGTTCATTAAACTTAATCCTCTGTGGACTTTTCTATTAGACTGAACTCCAACTTGATTAGGCGTAGGACATCCCAGGACATTAAAGCTGTCTAAAATGGATTGGGCACACACATACGCACACACAAAACCTAGCTGTTTGAAAACCACTGCAGAGCACATTCTGGCAAAGGTCTCTCAAGGTTTGAACTTGGTGGCTTTCACCTTCTGCATTTATGTGAATTCTCATGGGGCAGGTAATTTTATCGTGTCTTAGTTTTCCTCACCCAAGAAAAAAAGATGGAAGGAAGACAGGAAAGGAGGGAAAGAGGGAGAGAGAAACAGAGACAAGACAAGAAGAGATAAAAAAGGAAAGAAAATGGCCAATGTGTAAACGGTAAATTTTTTTCACATGCAAAAGAGTGAATGAGAATAAAGAAAGCATCCCTTGGGAAGGCCAAGTCTGATGCCTCTCCTCTCCCACTAAAAGGACGGCTTAAGCAGTCATTCACTGCTTGAGTTCCCTCCAATTCTGATTTTCGGGGCTATTAATGAGAAAGAGCCGCTTCTGTCTGCAGCTGAGGAACATGATAAAATAACAATAAAATATTGTGTTAACACATATTTTTGTGAATTAGCATGAGCCAACCTTGCTTCTGCATTAAGGCTCAGAGTAGTTCATCCTGGCTTAAAATTTATTGAAAGGCAAACACTTAACCTTTGCTACCTTCCATTCTCTGTGCAGAGTTATTTGGTAATTAGGCTAGAAGCATCTACATAATATATGTCTAGACTCTGTAATGTTCACTTTCTGTGGTTGCTGCTGGCACTTTACATTGCATTACAAAGTAATGACAAAATACGAGTTGTGTTAAGATTCTTGATGGAAGGCATGAAGTATAATTTTCAAAGGAAGGAGGAAGTTAAGCTCCTCTTGCAAAAAGGCCTTAGCAGGTACATCTTAAAATACATATTATTAATTGTTTTGGTCTTTGTATTTGGATAATACATCAAAAGGGAAATGTAGTGATAAAAATCATTACCATTTAGATAAAGTATGTTTCTTCCCTAAAAGATTATTCAAAGTTATTTTTAACTCACCTGAATGACTCCACGAACAACAACAACAACAAAACAGAAATCAATAAACAAAGGGAGGAAAGTGAGAGCCAACTGTGTTGCATTATAAAACATAATCTACATCTCAACAGGAGTACTTTAATTTAGAAGAAAATTAGCAAGGTTCTGTTAACAGAATAATGAATAGTTTCCAAGGTTTACCCTATCAAAAAGCCCTAATTGTGTTCATTAATACCCAACTCAACATTATAGTGGGAAAACTAAATGTGAATAAAGCAATAATGTCCCTCATATTCTCAGAAATCTGCACTACCCCTTACACTGGCTTCGGAATGTCCCATCTTAATTACTACGGTAATATGATGAATACGACAGTCTCTCAAGATGAGGACATGCACTGATTTGAAATATGACTTTCGAGGGTTGTATGGAGAAAGGCTGAGAAGAATAAATGCGACCTTACAGCTCAACATAGAGTTATGGAGAATAAAACAAGGTCGTGTGATGGAGGAATTTATAGCAGATAGTGTAGATTTCAATCGGTGGTACCCCCCAAAATGAACAAGAATCTCAGCTCTCAGAGAAACCCTGAATTTATACAATTTAGTGGGAAAACAAAATCAGTCAAACTGGTAATTTGGAAATGTGTAGACAAAATGTCCAGATGAGTGACTGGTGTTTTTCCCTTCTCAACCTGGTGTTTTTGGCAATATTAGACTCAATATTGATGTCTGTGTTCTGGGGAAAATAAGTTTCTCTGTTGCAATTTTTCATTTTTAATAATATTAGTTCAAATTTCTCCAGTGCCTCTCATTCCATTAGCTCAAAGCACTTTTCAGACCACTAATGAATTACACTTGCTGACATCCAAGCAAGGCAAAAAGCATCCCATCCATTTTCATAGCAAAATGCTTCACTTCAAGCAGCACCAGCCCTTAGAGAATAGCCACAATTTTAAAATATATATTTTTTATTATTTGCCCACTTCACATTTTATCTCCCGCTTCACAGGTAAATCTGAGGCACTGAGAAGTTTAACGACATCATCCAAAAAGGAAGAGATTGGACCTTCCATCCCCACTAATTTTAGTCTGCCCTACATCTTAAATTATCCACCAGAAATTGATCCACTTAGTGTCCAGAACTCTCCATGGGAGGAGAAAGGAAAAAAGAGAGACGCTCCCAAATCTAGTCTCCTATCAGGAGGCACCTCCATTATCTTTTCAGCCTTCATCAGCCTGAAACATAAAGCTTTGAAATGAACAGGTTAGGTGACAAAAGTTATTTCCCAAAACCGAGTGAATCATTGACAACATCATCCATTATACTGCGAGAGAGAAAGAAAGCAATTGCCAAAGAGAACAACGTTAATTTCAGGTCCATTTAAATTCCAAGTCACTTCTTTAGAGGAATCCATCCCGAATCAGTCCTTTTGGGCTTATAAACAAACAAATGAGATGAGACGAAAGCAACGGAATGAGTCTATTTGTTCGCACGTCAAACAATCAAATATGATAAGTTCTACAGTTACCATTTCTGAAATTTCCGTTTTGAAACTTTTCACCAAGGGCAAAGGATGACTTTTATCTTTTTTCTGTCTCCAGTATTGACCAGATTAAAATATGTAAAATAACCATGATATTCTCACCTGTGACTTGCCTCCTGCAATTATTGCATTTAGGTCCTTAACCGCGGGTTTCTATCCCTAGAAATTTAGACACTTGGGTTCTTTTTAAAGCACACAGTCCTTCCGTTTTTCTTATAGGCCCATGGAGTTGGAAAAGCCAGATGCTCCAAGTGACACGATTGTGACCTCATGACCCAAAGAATGGCAGAGCTGCGCAGGCAAGAATGGGCTGGCTGGAGAGCTTTATATTAGTCTCAGAGGTGATACTGTCCCTGCTTTGTGCAAAGTGGAACAGAAAGGAAGAGCAGAGCAGAAGGACTCAGCAGGAAAATGAAACTACTTTCTAGAGTCTTCTGAGTGGGAACTTTATGCAGGATTGTAGTACTATCTTATAAAATCTCAAATTATCCCACATTTTCATCGTCAAATGGTAGTTCAAATGTCTTCTGAAGTGAAATCTGAAACGTATGAAAATGAAACCATAACGTAGTAAAACCAGTACCAAAAAGGCGGCATAACTGCCCCCAGTCTGCAGTGATAATGAAAGGCCTCCTGTACAGCCTGTCTGGATGTGTGGTGTGTGTTTCAAAACGCACAATGGAAAACACAAAGAGGTAGGACACGCATTTCCTAAGCTTTCACAGAAACCCGTAGTTACTCCTCATTAACACCAGATGGCCTTCCGCCGCCAAGTGTTCACTTAGATTTTCCCCCACATTAAGGAAAAGTGACAGATATTCAGAATGCTGCCTGTAATAAATACTAAATATAAGTGTGTTGTAAGCATTTTTTTAGATAAGTATATCATCAAAATTTAAAGCTATCAAAAAGCAAAGACTACTTGTAAAGTGTTTTTTTTCCCCCCTAGAGGGCTCAGGATATTAGTGTATTGATATAATTCTATTTCATCATTGATATCCATAACAATTTCCTTTGGAAATAGAAAAATGGATATTACTCTTTCTATTTGATTAATAGTGATCAATGAGATACATAGGAATCAAATTATGCTAGAAGTCAGTGAAAGAAAAAAAAAGAATTTGGAGGAATAGAAATCAGTCAAATCTTGGAAGCCTAAGTAAAAACTGGATAAAATATAAATTAATAAAGTCACCAGTATGTCATTTTCTATCTTCTTTGTGAAATTACCTTTCAGAAGAAGATCAGTCTCAGGCCTCAGGCAATATATGTTAAGATCCTAGAATAAAAGATACCTTATACTTTTTATTCTATACTCCTATGCCCTCCCTTTGTTTTTGTTCTTTAGATGTTACTAACTCTGGAGTATATGCCCTTGTGATACTTTGCTCAAGACGGAGAACACCAGTAACTGAGATGTTTCTGTTCCCATGTAGCTCAGACTCAACATGAATAAACAGAGCATATTAAGACAGAGAGACCAGATGAATTTCCCTTGAAAAGTTTCCATTCATGCTACTGAAGAAGTAAAATGCATCTTCAAATAACCCACTTGGCACACACACTCCTTGGTTAAGGGCATGCATTAGATTTCTTCAGTTTCCCAGAGTTGTACCAGGTAGTTAAAATGATGTTGCTAACTACTTTCTGTCACTGATATAGTTACTGCTTTTTGTTTGAGTGTTGGGTGTTACTTAAGGATGGATGAATTACCCAATAGAAGAAAAAAAAAATTGGTGGCATTAAATTGGTGCTCAATGTGTAAATTTTGCATCTTCACCAAAGTTGGCTTCCAGCTTGCAAAGATCTTCACTTTCTGTAGACATCTGCTTAACATAGTACCAAAAATGCCACAGTTAGTTCCTCATTTGAGTGCTTCCAAAGGGCAGGGACCACATCTTCCCTGTATCTGTATTTCCCATAAGACATAGCACAGTGTCTTGAACCAATTCGAGATCAGAAAATATGGGTAAATGAGCAAACTGGGCATGGTAAATAAACTTGTTGACATCAAATCAAGAAAAAAAAAAAAAAAGGTTTTGGCTGAGTGTCCAACATAGTCCTGGATAAGATTTCACCAACTGGCTGAGATAGGCGTCATTCCCCTTCGGAAGTTGTGGGTCCCAGCCTGACCGTACCATGGCCAAATACAGGCTTTGCTGGAGCTACACAGCATGTAACACGCAGGTAGGATCTAGAAGGGACTAATGGAACTAGTAAAAATTAACCCAAGAGACCTGATATCCTATATCACATAGGATAGGGATATACATATGATATATGTATATGTAGCTTTAAAAGCTCAGAAACTTTTACATTAACCTGCTTTATACACCTCAGTAAGTATCCCTAATTCCTGAAGATAAGCTACCCAGCCTGACAATGATGAATTCCTCCTATGTTTCCGCTCCACCTGAGGAAGCACAGAGGTGATAAAACAAAAGGTAAGAATCATAGAATCATAGAAAGGGGAGACAGGGCCAAGCCAGCTGCTCATTTGTTTTCCTCATCCTCCACAGGCAACAATAATGCCTTCCCCCAACATCACTAAACAGAGGAGAAGATAGGAGTGGTAATGCCTGAGAGCTATTACTTTCATAAATAACAACAAAAAAAAAGACATTTTTCTGACGTTTTTGGGTGAGGTGGGGCCTGGGATCCAAAGTATCCAGCTAGGGGTGCACTGGTGGCTCAGTAGGTTAAGCATCTGACTTTGGCTCAGATCATGATCTCACAGCTCGTGGGTTCGAGCCCCGCATCAGGCTCTGTGCTGACAGCTCAGAGCTTGGAGCCCTCTTCGGATTCTACATCTCTCTCTCTCTCTGTGTGTGTGTGTGTCTCTCCCCTGCTCACACTCTGTCTCTCTCTCTCAAAAATAAATACTAAAAAAGTACAAAAATAAAATGACGGTGGGGGGCAGGGTGGATCACTACCAACAAAGAATTTTATATCCAGTAAAAATATACTTCAAAAATGAGTACAAAATAAAAAGTTTCCAAACAAGCAAAACCAAGTGACACTTTTCACCAGTAGATGTGCACAAAAAGAATTATTAAATACTTCAGGCCAGAGGAAGGCAGTCCCAGACGAAAACGTGGATTTCAGGACAAATGAAGAACTGGAAGACTAAAAATGTGGATAAATCTACATAAATAGCGATTCTGTGAAATCAGTCTTTTGGGGTAGAATGTAGATGTAATGCAAGTACTCTCCCTCTCAAAAGTAAATAAACATTAAAAAAAAGTTAAGGCCATAGCGTCTAATTTAAGAAATGGTTTCTTTGTCCTAGTCACTATCCCATACAAATTAAGGAAAATTATCTGGTCTGCAGAACATCAAAATCTAAACATTTTTCAGGGGCGCCTGGGTGGCGCAGTCGGTTAAGCGTCCGACTTCAGCCAGGTCACGATCTCGCGGTCCGTGAGTTCGAGCCCCGCGTCAGGCTCTGGGCTGATGGCTCGGAGCCTGGAGCCTGTTTCCGATTCTGTGTCTCCCTCTCTCTCTGCCCCTCCCCGTTCATGCTGTCTCTCTCTGTCCCAAAAATAAATAAACGTTGAAAAAAAAATTAAAAAAAAAAAAATAAATAAACATTTTTCAGTTTCTTCATCAAGAACTCATTTTGCCAAAAGCCTCAGAAAACATCTTCCCTTACTCCTTCTCTCCCTCCCTTCTCTCCTGCCTGCTTCCCTTCTTCCTCTTTTCCTCCCTCCCCCCTCCTTCCTTTGTTGCATGTTTCCTTTCTTCCTTCTTTGCTTCACTCTGTTTCCTTCCTTCCTATCTTGTTGTGCAAACGTCCCTTTATGTACTCCCTAATTCTCCATTATCCTACACTTGCTTCAGAGTCTCTCTTGCATCCAAACAAAACCAAATTCTCTTCCAGATTCTTAAAGTGGAACAACCTGTTACCAAATAAGTGTGTGACTTTCTCACTTTCAAGTGGAGATGCTGAATCACAGAGGACGTGTATCTTCAGCTCTTCTAGGCAATGTCAACGTGTCTTTCATCACAGACTTCATAGTTTTGCTCCTACCGGCAGTACGTGAGAGTTCCTGTTTTTCTTGGTCGGGGCCAACCAAGATGGATTGTTCAATTTGTTAATTTTTGCCAGTCTGATGGGCAGATAATGACATCCAATAATTTAATTTGCATGGCCTTGATTGCTGAGGAACTTGAGCTCCTTTTCAAATATTCATTGACCATTGGATTTCCTCATGCCCAAAATTCTTATTCAAGACTTTTGGCCACTTTTATATATGGTTGCAAGAGCTCTATTTTCATACTTGATACAAGCCCCTTAATGGTGATATGTGTGGCAAATATCTTTTCCCACTCTGTGGCTTCCCTTTTTGTTTGGTTCATACTATCTTTTTTTTTTTTTTTTTATGAATAGGAGTTCTTGGATCTAATGTAGTCACTTTATTAATCATTTCCTTTGTGGTTAGTGCCTTTAACCTCTTCTAAAAGAAATTCTACTCTATCCTGATTTTACCAGTTCAATTTTCCTCCCCCTTGGTTTTCAAAGAAGATTGAGTTTACCAGGCATTCAAAGCTGCTGATTCAGCCTTGATTCAACAACGTTAAACCATACTTAAAACAATACTTTCCCATTAAATGGAAACGGCTTCAGTGAAAGAAACAATATTTCATCCTTGTATTGGTATGATGGCATGGTCAAATCTTCTCATTGTTTGTAGACCTGTAGATCTGCTGGTTTAAGGCAAAACCTTTCACACAAAGTCATCAGCAACAGATACATTCCTACTGATAGCTTGATCTTAGAGGAAATGCTGCAGAGATGTTGGTCCTTTACTAGATGATGTGGTAAAAGACAGAGGTAATGGAAAGATCACCAAAGTATCACGTAGTGTGCCTCAGTCGTATTCAGGAGGTAAGATTTTCCTCTATGGTAATAAAGAAAAATATTTTAAAAAGCAATTCGTACCAGCCCAGCTTGAAAGAGGTGAAAAAATTTAAAAAGAATAGGGTACCAAAATCCATAGGACATGGTTAAAATCTCAACATTATCAGCCTCTTTCTGCCTGGGCTATATCACCTGAGACTTATAGGATTCTTTATTTCATTTTAATGAAATGAAATGCCTTCCGTTTTAATAAACGGCCTTCCACTTTAATAAACATGGTCAAGAACTTCCTCTGAAAAGATACCCTCCACCTCCTCACTGAGGTGAATGTTCCACACTCCACTTAGAAGTACGCCATCCTGGTTCCATGATTAATATTTACCCCTGGGCTCAAAATGCCCATTCAGACTGCCAGGGCTTGTAGGCACAAATCAGGAAAACAGAGCCACAAATCATTCTCCCTAAATAAAAAGGTCAACTGGTATTAAATTAGTTCATTTACAGAACTCATTGAAATTAGCAGCATGTTCTTAAATTGCTTCTTGATTGAGGACATTTGCCTCATTAATTCTGAGCAACCTGAGAAGACTATTAAAGTCTCACAGAAAAAAATTGACCAAAGGACAAGATGCACAACACACTTTACCTCAGGGGCAAATGGTAAATCCCAGAAAATGTATACGGACAGAGGGAAATCGAAGATGAGGGAGTTTAACTTCTACCGAGGAAGTCCCCATTGTGTGTGTGTGTGTGTGTGTGTGTGTGTGTGTCTGTCTGTCTGTCTGTCTCTCTGTCTGTGGGTGTGAGCGCATGTGCATCTCCAACAGCCAGAGAGAGAACTTCCTAACACACAAACCCAGTCATATGATTCTCCAGTTCAGTGGTTCCCTTTTGTCTTTAAATAAAGGTCATGGAGATCTGGCTGTGGTTTCCCCTCCACCTGCCCCCTTAGCCTCACACCAGACCCTTTGTTCCCTGAGATTGCCATTCCTGGGCTCACCGTTGAAGTTGTTCACATGTGCCTCCTTCTGCACTCTCAGCCTAGGCCAATTTTGGCTCATCCTAGGACTCAACTCAGGTCTACCTTTCTCTGAAGAGATTTCTCTGAATCCAACAAGCTGCCCTCTGTGCCCCTTTTCACAGTTATCCTTACCATTAATACCTACCACATTAATACAGTTTCCTGTGAATACTTCTCTCTCCCCTACCGTAAGTTTTGTAAAGACAGAGACTAGGCGTACCTGCACAGCTCGTCAGTTAAGAGTCCAAGTCTTGATTTCAGCTCAGGTCATGATCCCATGATTTGGGAGATCGAGGCCCATGTTGGGCTCTGTGATGACAGTGAGGACCTTGCTTGGGATTCTCTCTCTCTCCGTCTCTCTGCCTCTCCCCCACTTGCACACATGCTCTCTCTCTTTCAGAATAAATAAAATAAACTTTAAAAAAAGACAGAGACTATGTCTTGCTCATCATTTTATTTCTGGCACATTTATCTGGGTTTTAATGGAAGCTCAATAAATAGTTGAGTGAAGGAGCAAATGAATGATTTGATTAGCTTAGGTCTTGTTGAGCCCTTTTCCTGTACAAAGCCGTGTTCTTGTGGGGGATATATGATGTCGCTGTATTGGAACCTGTCCTCAATAAGCACTCAATATTTTACTGAAGAAGAGTCATGAACACAAGTTCCTAGACTGTGCGTACCAGAAGCTTCGAACGATGAACATTTTGAGGAGGGAACAGCTATTTTCACTTGGAGATATCAGGAAGTCCTGCCAGGGTGGGAGAAAGTGGGCAATACGGTATGGTTCATTTGAATATCAACTGGTGAACTGTAGGATTTGGGTAAGAGAAATAGGGACAGGAAAGAGCACTCTGATACACAGAAGGAACAATATGCGCAAAAAGCCGAAAAAGAGCATTATTCATCCATTCCTTCATTCGCTCACGTTATTAATCAGTCATCAAAAAGTTATTGAATACCTCCTTACTACAGCTTAGACATGGCACTAGGCATTAGCTGCTCAGTAATGAGTTAAACAAACCCATAACACTTTCATCAAGAGGAAAGAAAAACATTATATAGTGAATTATATCATTATTATATGCTTATAACTGCAGAGGTACTAGATATTATTGGTAAGAGCAATGTCTTTAGTATCAGGTACCAGATATTATTGGTAAGAGCAATGTCACTGGGGAGTGACAGTGAGAGAGGGTATTTTTACAGTGGATGAGATGTGAGCATGTTCTAGTCCTGGCAGCAGGGATCTAGGAGATAAAGGAAAGATACAAGCGAAAGAACAAATTTAAAAACAGACAGGGCCGC